ATGTCCAGCGCAACCTAGGCCAGGCCCAACATGGACTATAAGGTACACTCCCCCTATAAAAAGGGGGAGAAGGTACTCATTTCATCATATTCTCTCCTTATTCCATTACTACTCTCTCTCTCTACACACTCTCCCTACTCTTTCTCTATGCATTCTCATATGAATCCAGTACTGACTTAAGCATCGGAGGCCCAAAGCCGGGCACCCCTCCCGGGGTCCGGACTTTGGATTCTTGCAGGTACGATGGCCGCTCGAGTCAAAGGAGCCCGGGTGACATCTTTGTCCCATCAACCTCCCTATCAAGAGTATCATGTATTACTCTACCTTTAAAAGGTTAGGGATTCATTAAAAGTCCAGATGACTTACCCTCACCACAATCAACAGGTAATCTTGCACTTAGATTGCTTTTAGGGAATAGATTTGGACATTCTAATGTTCCAAGTGCTCAACTGAATTTTCATAGTTTAATTTTCCCCTTGAACCAAGTTTATGTGATCTCCATTCAACAAGGTAGGGTTCCCACTATGATCATTCTTTTCATTGTGGATTTTTAATCTCATTCCCTCTAGCAGTATTCCCAATTGATCTCTATTCAATCCTTTAGTAAAAGGATCAGCCAATTTTTCCTGAGACTTTACGTAGTCAATGGAAATAATACCATTTGTGATCAATTGGCGAATGGTATTATGTCTACGACGAATATGTCTAGACTTACCGTTGTACATGTTACTTTGTGCCCTTCCTATAGCGGCTTGGCTATAACAGGGAATCATTACAAGCGGCAAAGGTTTATTCAAAAATGGAATATTGGATAAAAAGTTTCGAAGCCACTCGGCTTCTTCACCAGCTTTATCTAAAGCGATGAACTCCGACTCCATGGTTGACCGAGCTATACAAGTTTGTTTTAGTGGACTTCCACGAAACAACACCTCTTCTGATACATAAAACATATCCGCTTGTGGAATGAGAATCTCTCGAATCCGATATCCAGCTTGTATCACAATACCCTTCAAGTACTGCTGGATATCTCGAGTATTTTAGCCCGTATTCAAGGGTGTACTTTAAGTACTTCAGTACCCTTTTCAAAGCATTCTAGTGCTCATGACTGGGATTGCTAGTAAATCTACTCAACTTATTCACCGGATATGCCAAGTCTGGTCGAGTACAGTTCGTTAAGTACATTAGACTCCCTATTATACGTGCATATTCCAATTGAGCAACTGGTTGACCTTTATTGGCTTCCAGATTTATGCTAAGATCAAGGGGTGTCCTAGACAGAGGACCTTCATATGCATTAAATTTCTTGAGCACTTTTTCTACGTAATGAGATTGTGACAAGACAATTCCATCTTGGGTTCTGACAATTCTTATTCCAAGAATTACATCAGCTACACCCATATCTTTCATGTCGAAATTTCTTTTCATCATTCGTTTTGTATCCTTGATCACTTAATGGATACTCCCCATGATCAACATATTGTCTACACATAGACATACAATTACATATGTA